CGAAATCATCAGTATAAACAAGGTTCATATCGATGAGGGCAAGTCAATAATATCATACAGCAATCCAGGGTTCAACATATAGCACAAAAGTTCATACACCCCTAATCATGCCATTCTAGTTCACCTAGGTCAATTCTAAGCATCAACATAATTATCGTGATACGACAAACCCGGTATGCCGTGCTAATCCCTCACCAGTTCTGGTCGTTCAAACACCGGTTTAAGCTTCCCGTACTAAAACGTCAATTTCACGAACGAACCCCGAATTAAAATCCGAGACCGTCCTAATATCCCCTGCAGTATCCCCGTCAATATTAGTTCTAGGCTCCGGGTCAAATTCTTGATAAAAACACATCAAACCCTGGCCGGAGCTAAATTCAGCGATTAGGACCCCGACCTAAATAATTGCCGAAATTCAGGGATTAGAACTAGAGGATTGATTACCTCACTGCAGGAAGCTCGTATATGAAATTTGGGCTCAATCCGGCTTCCGGATACTCCGAAACCCTAATTTGGCTTATCGGGAATTCAAGAAATTCCTGAACCAAAAACTCGTTTTAAAGCTCTAAATCAATAAATCACGATGTATAGATAAATTAGGCATTACTTACGGGATTTTTGGATCACTTATGCTCAAGAATCGACCCTTGAAGTTTTCCCCGACGTTCCCCTGTACGCTCTCTCCGCTAGCTCTGGTTTTTGCTTCTCTCGGTGGAAAATGGAAATGGACGATGATGATGATGTGAATTAAATGGACAGGGAGATTATATATATGCGGCCCCATATATATATATATATATATATATATATATATATATATATATATATATATATATATATATATATATATAATTATACGTACATATAATTAATACGTATACTTATCCGATCGATTGATAATCCGATTTTCGTCGAAATACTGCCAAAATGCTCGATTTTAAATCGTGAAATTTTCTAGTGGCAGTAATACGATTTTAGCCGAAACGGAATGTTACTATTTATGTATCCCTATCACTGGTCAGAGTACTTCTATTAACTCATTTTCCTCAATTCATGTGGGGGTCAATGATTCAAGTGTCCTAAGATTACTAATTCACACAATCAACCAACACAATATGAACAAGAAAGGGGACTTCTCAATGCATCAACATCCTCCATAGTGCTACCCTAACCTTCCTAGGTTGCATATCGCTCTAAAGACGAGTGATTCAAAGCATACTAAGCAGACAATATGCAAGGAATAACACACTTGGAGCCTTCAAATTTAAAAATTTGGACGGTGGACTGGTCTCCAAGAACACACATACATAATGATACCCCCCCCCCCCCCCCACACACACTTAAGCACGACATTGTCCTCAATGGTGGACGGGGCAGGGGGTTCATTCCATGGGATCAAGAATAATCAGAGCATAAACACCACACAAAATTTCACAAAGGTTGAGTTATTGACTCTAAAATCAAAGAACAACACTAACTCAACCGAAGAAACGTAGGGAAAGAAATGCAAACCGGCTGGTTGTGTTGCCTCCCAACAAGCGCTTATTTCATGTTGTGAGCCAAAAGGTGACTCCTAAGCTTTGGTCCACCCCAAAACTTCCTTGACGTTGAGGTTCTCGTCAATGAGGTGGAGTCTCAAGTCACGATCAGGTGATATGACATGTGATAAGATGGCTCGTGCCCTCGAGGAAGAGTCTCCACATGCGAGACCTCTCCTTCATTTCTTCTCTTGCCTCATTTCCCCAAACCAGACATGACAGCATCGGTTGACCACCATCGAGTCCATAAAGAGTGACGGATGTCGATGTGGTCTTGGTCTGGAAAAAAGACATTGCAAACGGGTCCCTGCCAAGCAGCTCCTCGAAGTTTGGTGGATATATCACATGTAACTTATGGTCAGTGCAAGCCTCTTCCACCTCAACTTCATCCTTAGCCAGGTCATTGATTTCTTCTTCAACCCCCCTTCCTCATTCAAAATGTGGTCTCTCCCCTTGGAAAAGATCAACAACTCCTTCTACTTCACTTCCATCATCCTCCACAACTTCTTCCCTCACCCTGTCTCTCGCTCTTATTCTTTCAACACAGATTGGAGAGCAAGTCGCCATGCAAGGTTCTTAATAACATAACCTTGCATCTCCTCACTCATGCCCGTCTCTTCAAAGCAAGGATTAATGGGGATAGGTGTGGTCGGCTACAACATAACATTCATGATCGTGATCATTACGGGGCCTCTCCGTAACAACTTATGTTTGCTCCACAATGTCCTCGTAGGCTTCTTCATCTTCCTCATCTTCTGGTATGGTAGCAAAATGGAGATCTTGAACAAGCTGTGCGCAAACTTGCTCAATGACCTCTATGTTCTTCTTCATGCTCCGGAGTGTCTACTTTGTTTCACGGGGAAATGAGAAGTCAATTTGGGCAATGGTCTGGATACGAAGGTCATTGTTGGAGCATGATCTTTAGCCGTCATGAGCAAACTGCTTGATAACACCTAAAATAGGCGTTATTTAGCCATTATTCTTAAGGCATTTTCATGTTAAATCACCTTGTCTAGACCACATATCAAGTTATTCATGTCTATTTGCAAAACATGCATTTTGGCATAAGTATTCTTGATATGAAGGTTTTCATGGGGGAATCGACTCCAGTTTGTCATATTTTATGCGTTTTCCAGTGTTTGTGATGAAATTCTAGGTCTTATATTCATCTGGAATTGATCGGGAATCGATTGGAGTTCATCCGAGTATGATTGGGAAGCATAGGAGCAAAAAGGGGAGAAAAGGGCACAGGTCACGACCGTGACCACTAGGACGTGACCATATTTGGGGACTGAAAATCGTGGCCATGAACAACTCCCTAGAACTTCAGGAGGCAGTCGTCTAGGGCTGATAAGAGGATTAAAATATTTGTTTATTTAATAAAAGTTTAACAATAAAATAATCCTAATTGATGTGATTCTAAGGAATAATGAAAAGTTTGATTGTTCTTTTAATAATAATAATAATAATTATTATTATTATTATTATTATTATTATTATTATGATGATGATGATGATGATGAATGTAACATGATCATTGTCATTGTTGCTGCCCAAAAACTATATTAATAACCTGATACTTAATCTACGGATAAAAGCTTGTAAGAAAAAATTACTGATAAAGGACACAAGCAAACACAATTGGTATACCAATTAACAAAACCTAAACCACTTGATCAATAGACAAAATTTGATTTTCGTTGTTATTGAGGGCTTTGGTGTAAAACTATTTTCTCAAATATATACCCACTAGAAAGTGAATGTCGCGTCATGTCGCGATCTTGTGGTTGAGTTTTATCTCACTATCTACATATTCATTAATTAATTTGTTGTATCTGAATTATGGGTTGATAAAATAATTAATAGAGCAAAACACATAAATATAGGGAAAATGGCATATCTAGTTTTTATGTTAGGATCCATGGTTGTGCTTGTGCAATTGAACTATGAAGATAAACACTCTCATGTTGATTTCCATCATGATTCTTAAGTAGAGAAGTTCGTTTAAAAGGTAGATGAAACAAAGGGTTGAAACATTTTATGTTTAAGGAAACCAGAGATGGGTGAGCAATGCTAGTTTAGAGAAATAATTTATTTGGGTTCGAATATATTGTCATTCTCAAATGGAGAAGCGCTTTGGAGAATGCATGACAACAATAACCTAGACCTGGGATTTCAAGGAAGAGGAGGAAGTGCATGGGGAAAAGATCGTCAAATTTCGTCGATTGTGAAGATAATTAAACACTCATCGTTCTGAATTTACTATGATTATTAAATAAATAGAACAATGTTAGAATTCTCATAAAATAAGTCAAGATTATGGACATTTATGATTTGAGAAGCAATTCAAGAAAATATACACAATAAAAGCCCGAGAATGACATTTTTTGACAAACAAACCGGATGTCGTAGATAATATGAGTACACATATTTAAGATAATGTTACCATCAAAATGATGCAAAAAAAAAAAAACAGACAGCTTATTGTGAGTGTACAAAATTAAAATAGGAACAACCACACATAATCCAAAAATAAAAAGGACGGCTCAGATGATGAGTGCATAAAAAAAATAGAAACAACTACACCAAAATCAAGTTTATAGGCAGCAATAACTGGTATTTAAGTTTATATATATAAACGATAAGAATGTTATTGTAAACTTCACTCACACTTACTTGCCACTACAAGATACACCTACCACCTCGAGTTACCTTATTTTGGAATGGAAGGGGGGAAAAACTATGAAAAGATGGGCGACTAGGTGAGGAATCCTAGCTAGAATTGTTAGCCGTCGATACTTATTAGCATTATCATAAATCAATCAGCCAGGATTTGCAAGTCGTTAATAGGAGGTAAAAGAGTAAGAAGACACTTAATTTAGAATCTCCCAAGATTAGCGGGAAGATTAATCAGGGGAAAAAACGGTCAACCTATACCAAAAAATATTTGTTTCCGCGTGGGGACGGGACGAGAGAGAGAGACGGTGAGAAGTAGTCGCGTGTAGCATTTTTAACCAAAATGCATGGCACGTCATTGACAGCGCCACCCGCTTCACCGTCGGATGAGCTGACCGATCCATCGTTTCCGTCAACGAAGACCGAGTCATCAGGTAAATAGAGAGTCTTTCATCGGACGGGGAAATGAGAACGGGAACACCGGAACACAGACTCATCAGCTCCTGACAGTTGGGGGACGGAATGCTGAGTTGGCAAAGTGGGCGGGCCGGCGGGCACTTTCCTTTTTTCGACCCAACCGAAAGTGAGCCAGCTGTGTCTGTGTTGCAGCACGAGCATGACACGTCATGGCGTCCGTCGATCCGACATTTTAAAAAAAGCAACGGACAGGATGATTTGGGGGAGCGAATTTGAGGTTCATTTAAGCTGAATTTCCCATTTGCATTTCACATTCCCCGAAAATTCATTTTAAAAAACAGACCCCCTTCAACTCCCTTTCAGGCTTAGCTTAACCCTCTCTCTCTCTCAATAGCCACATCCCGCCCTCAGCCGAACGAAACCAGCTGAGCCTCGTCGTCACCACAAACCCAACATCCACTCCCTGCGGCGGAGAATCCACCGGCCGACTCAATTCCCGGCGTTTCCTTTCTTACCAGGTGAATTCCCAGTCCATTCTTGTAACGTCTGTGGTGTGCTTTCTTCCTCCTGATAAAATTTTCCCAATCGGAAATGTCCGTGTTCTCGCCGTCCGTTCGTTTACCGATTTCGGCGATATTGAATATGCTCGTTCGTTTGAAAATTGAATTGAATTTTTCGGCGTGCATTCGCTTTATTAACAACTTGCTAATGATTATTACGATCTGGTTTCTAAACTAATTGGTCGTGGATTTGACATTGTTCTCTTGTTTCCCGTGATCAAAACCATCAATGTCGTTACAAGTTCTCAGAGATACGGGTTCATTCATGATTAGCGCGCGTGAATCTTGTTTCTGTGATTTGAACATTAGCAGGAGAATGTTTGGCTTGGTAATGGACTGCAACATTTACGACAATTCAATTGAGAATCCAATCGTAAAATTTGCTACAACATGTCAATGTAAAAGTGTTATAAGGATTCTTTTGTGGTAGTGGATCATTTTAGATAAGTTAGGATCTCGATTTCGATACATATTTATCTGAAGACATGGTCTATCTTGGTAACAGGTATTAAGAAATGGCAGAAGGTGAGGATATTCAGCCCCTTGTCTGTGACAATGGTACCGGAATGGTCAAGGTACTTGCTTGCTTCCATTCCTTTGGTCAAAGTTGCTGTCGCTGTTTATCGAAATCCCAATGTGATTGCTGCCATGTTTGATTGGACTTCATTGACTTTTTAATATAGGCTGGGTTTGCCGGAGATGATGCTCCGAGGGCTGTCTTCCCTAGCATCGTTGGTCGTCCTCGCCATACTGGTGTGATGGTTGGTATGGGCCAGAAAGATGCTTACGTAGGTGACGAGGCTCAATCAAAGAGAGGTATTTTGACCTTGAAATACCCGATTGAGCACGGTATCGTCAGCAACTGGGATGACATGGAGAAAATTTGGCATCATACCTTTTACAATGAGCTCCGTGTCGCGCCTGAAGAGCATCCGGTTCTTCTCACAGAAGCCCCTCTCAATCCCAAGGCAAATCGTGAGAAGATGACTCAGATAATGTTTGAGACCTTCAACACCCCTGCTATGTATGTCGCCATCCAGGCCGTCCTTTCTCTTTATGCCAGTGGCCGTACGACTGGTGAGTTAGATTCGACATCTATAACCTTTGTCCGTCCATTTTGTTGATTCGTTAAAATTTAGATAGTCTGAATTCCGAAGATAAAATTGACGTTACTGATCTATAATGGGTAGCAGTTAACATCATTACCAACTTTGCAAAAAAGGTCAAAATGTTAGCTTCGTTAACTGGATGCATAATTCGGATGTTCTATATTCATAATTAGGTCCGCAGAAAGGGAAAACATCTGTTTTTGGCTTAGAAAATGCAAACTTTCCAACTACAAAAGGCTTGCCGAATTGGATTCATAAGAAATAAGAAGATGACCTTCAATAAGTGGATTCCAAATCTACTACACCATTGTGTTTTCTCCAGGATACTGGTGATACCAAGAACAGTTTGTTTTTACCTCTGGTCTATAGAATAAGCTGCAGGAAAATAGGTTATGCTCTGTTTTCTTTTTGTTGACTAGTGATCTTCAAAATATTGGATGTGTTTGTTTTAGCTCAAGTGTATCAAAACAAGTCATGAATAGTTGTTCTAGGAAGTTAGATTGATGAATTATGTTTGTGTGAGCTTTTAAAAGTTCATTTTTTATAAGTCAGTTTTTTTGTATAGGAAACAGGCACGAACTATATCTATCAACCTAAGGCTTTTGAAAAAGTGATTGAATATTAATATGGTCAATGGTTTCTCTGTTTCCCCCATTATAGGTATCGTTCTGGATTCTGGAGATGGTGTCTCCCACACAGTCCCCATCTACGAAGGATATGCACTCCCACACGCTATTCTCCGTCTGGATTTGGCCGGTCGTGATCTCACCGACGCCCTCATGAAAATCCTGACAGAGCGTGGCTACTCCTTCACCACCACAGCAGAGCGAGAAATCGTGAGGGACATGAAGGAGAAGCTGGCCTACATCGCACTCGACTACGAGCAAGAGCTGGAGACATCCAAGACCAGCTCATCAGTCGAGAAGAGCTACGAGCTGCCAGATGGACAGGTCATCACCATCGGAGCTGAAAGATTCCGATGCCCTGAAGTCCTCTTCCAGCCATCCATGATAGGAATGGAAGCTGCCGGTATCCACGAAACCACTTACAACTCCATCATGAAGTGCGACGTGGATATCAGGAAGGACCTCTACGGTAACATTGTTCTCAGTGGTGGCTCCACCATGTTCCCGGGCATTGCGGACAGGATGAGCAAGGAGATCACCGCGTTGGCTCCGAGTAGCATGAAGATCAAGGTTGTCGCGCCTCCTGAGAGGAAGTACAGTGTCTGGATAGGTGGCTCCATCCTGGCTTCCCTCAGCACTTTCCAGCAGGTACAGTCTTCCTATCTTCTCTGTATGCTGGAAGTATGTTGTTTTCCTGTAGTTATATCGTTTCAGGCTTTTCGAGATCATGGTAACGGTTCCAACCCGATTCGTCATTGATTCGAATTTTCTGGGTCAAAATTGCCGGACATATAATATCTAACAGTAGGGATTGCTTTGGTCTTGCGAGTGCAGATGTGGATTGCAAAGGCAGAGTACGACGAGTCTGGACCATCCATTGTCCACAGGAAGTGCTTCTAAGCAGAATCTGGTTTTGCCGAGGGAGCTTTGGCGGACAGTTCACATATACTATACCTTTTGTATCGAGGAAAGGGGAGTTCTACCTGAGAATCACGTGGGTTGCAAGCAACATTTTCTCTTTTCGTTCTGCCTTTTTCTTTTCCATATATTTTTTGGTTTAATTTTGGGTCTTGTGCTCTGTTCTTTATTATTCTCCTGGACAAGAAAAATATTTTTAATCGGAAGGTTGGTCGCAATCAGATCCATTTTTGTTTTTGGTGGAACCAATTTTTTTTCTTCAATTTGATATTTGATTTGTAGAAGAAAGAGTTTTGTGTATTTTTGTAACTTGAAGTTATCAGGGCATTCATCATTCCTATTACATCATTGGTTCTTGTAAGAATCTATTTTGTTCTAAATAAGAGCGAAAAAAAGAAAACATTATAAATTACATTCCTCTTTTCCCATGTTAAATTCTTTTTTTGTAGCATCCTCGGTTTTCAAAGCCAAACCGGCCGGTTCTATTGTTCATTTGTTCCGTAGTTAATTGTTATTGAACTATTGATAAAACCGTTGATAATATATTTTAGCATAATAAAAAACGTGATTTTATCTAGAAGTGGAAATGGCTAAATTTGTAAAGTGTATAATCAAAGTGTAAAAACATACATTTTTTACGCATATTATAAAATAACTAAAAATTTGTAAAGTACGACATATATACTATGTAAAATATGAGTGCACAAAATTTAGATAAATACCTGCAATTCGTGTCTAAGTAGAGCAACTTATACCATCTTAACAATAAGTTCATAAATATAGATCTTAACAATAAGTTCATAAACATAGATTTTAACAATAAGCACCTTCCCCTCTATGCTAATGAATTTGGGAAAGGCCTAGCTGGTGAATTAGATACTCAATTGAAGTTGAGAATGTATTCAAGTACCTGGTAAGTATCTTTTAATCTCAAATATATCATATTCTTGGTGATTTACCTTAAAAATATACGTTTTATTATTAATTTCTTTGAAAGAGGCTTGTAAAGTTGGATTTTCTTAGACAAATCTTCTCTCCTATCTAGGTTAATATATGGCAACCCTCTTTGTTCATATTAGCACCTAGCGTTGGTTGTAATTTGTCCGTCCGAACTCCGATTCGAGGGTGAAGTCCTAGCAACCCTTAGTCAATAGGTCAAGAGAGCTACTTTAGTGGCTTGAATCGAGTTCCCTTGACCTATTGACCGAGAGAGTGGCGTTTGTCCACTTGTTGCACTTCCCTATGGTTTACAACCTCCTTACCACACGTGTCCATTCAATCCTACAATTCAAAACTGTTAGCTAGGGGGAGCAACATTCGGGTGAAGCCTTCTTAATTAGTGTCAAATCCATTTACTTTTCCAAACATTTTAAATATAGATTGTCGTTGTCACCAAAAACCAATCACTAGATAATGTTACGAGCAATCAAAGTAGGGGTATATGGACCGGCCCGGGTTGACATTTAAACATACTTGCCCTATATTGCACCCAATTAAGGTTTATACTTGGGCCTTAATTGGGAGTTTTATTGTGATATTCGGAACGATTCAAGTTGTCTTACTTATTGATCTCATATCTCTATCACTGAATTGATAGTTATGATTATTGTGTTCACTAGTGGCAGCAGGAATGGCAAGGACGAAGAGACTGTTTCCTACGGTGCAGATAGGGAAGAGGCATGCAAGCTATGTTTATAGGCAGGTAGAAGTTGGGGTAGGTCAGGTTCCTTCCTTGAGTGCGGGTACTAGCAAGAAACTGCACCGTGAGACACGGGATAAGGGAGGGGGGGGGGGGAGAGGAAACATACTGATGATATTAGCAACAAGAAGTGAAACCCCAACTCTATAATTCAAATTTTGAAGGGTGGAGTTCAGAGGAGAGAAAGGATATACTTGATTTTCCGTTTTTTAGGATTACCACAAACAATTTCTTGTTGACTTCATGTTTATTTGTTATATTGGCTGGATATTATATTGTTGTTGGCATTTTTTTATTATAACACATTCTACTCCACTATTAGTGGTGATGCTAATGCGAAGTTACTAGTTTGTTTACATATCATATTGGTTGTACATGAATATGTTCAATGGTACATGTATTAGTTCAGTGATACATGTATTAGTGCAATATCATGGGTATCAGTTGACTAGTATATTTATTAGTTTAGTGATACATGTAACATTTCAATGGCACCACTCCGAAGTATATCTAACACTCCGATAGGAACATTTAGGATGAGTTTCGATTTTGCTAATGGTACGAGTATAGTATATCTAACACTGCAAGTGGGTGGTCACATTTTGGTGTGGAAAGTATTACTTGAATAATTGTACTGGTACTTGTATCAGGCCAGTGGTACATGTACCACTTCAGTGATACATGTATCAATTCATTGGTATATGTACAAGATTAGTGGTACATGTTCACGGCAGTACAATGATACTTGTATAGGGTTGCAATTCATGACAGAAAGCGGAAAGAAAAGAGTTTCCACCGCCCTCCATGTTCTTCTTCACCTCCGACAGGTTCGCCTTCGACGACCAGCAGTCCATCCGGTTGTCAGGACGCGAGTCTGATCCCATCTTCACCTCCCCGTCATTCGATGTCATCATAGGAGACGCCGTTCTTGGCATGCTCAGAACCACTGCACGCAATCTCGGATCCGTCTTCAATCCTTGTGTGGTCTTCGTCGGCTCGATCTTCAGCGATATTTCCTGCGTCTCAACCTTACAAGATTAAGAAAAGAAAACAAAAAACAACTTTCATTAATACTTGTCAAATGATTAAGGATAAAATTGACCAATGATGAATGGGGTGTCAAAAATCAGACTACTTTGGGGGTAGGCATACAATCTTATACTGGAACTAGTTCGACGATTTTACTAGTCTGAGTGCGTTCAATCCTTATTAGCATCTGTTCTACGTGAAACTAAATATCCACCGTCGGGCATGCCAAATTGTTTTGGGCAGTGTTCATTTGATTGTTTTGTGGTAGAAACTTTTGCGGTGTTGTTTGATCGAATGCACCTCTGACTTCTAAAACCAAGGCGACCGTCAAATATCCACCCTAGGGGTGCCAAATTGTTTCACACGGTGTAGATTTGAACGATGCACCTCTGACTTCTGAAAACCAAGACAATTGTTACTCCACCTCTCAAAACAATCTTCGAACGTGAGTGTTTGAGATTTTGGGAATCTATGTTAGATCTACTCTTATGGAGGTTCATGTGAAGCTCAACAACTATGCTACGACTACGACTATGGAGATCTTTTATGAAAGGAGACCTCCACGAGGGAGTTACAGAGAAAAAGAATGTTTTGAAAGGGTTGTTTTGTGTTGATTTTTGGTTCTCCTTTCTCTCTTCTTGCTCCGGTGCTTTTACCAAAAAAATCTTTGTAGTCTTCATGCTATGAAATCACCTTGCAGTTGCCACGCTCCTCACTCTTCAACCGCTTGGATCTTGTTTATGATCCATTATTTACGTGAATTACGCATGCACGCACACAAATGAGCTACAACACAACCCAACAACTTCGCGGTTCGAACCACGACATTGTTGCTTCATGGCTTCAACACCATCATGGATTTGAGTCATTAGGGCTCCGCATTTCAAGTTCGTTATCCTAACCATCTCCTCCGCTCTACTAGGCTTAACCAAACAATATTGTTGTTGACACCACGATCTGGTAAGACTTGCGAAGATGTTTTTATTAAACAACGTCAACAATGTCGTGAGTTAAACAATCTTGTTGTGCTCATGACTTTATTAGCCATGACAACATCATTAACCTCATGGTTTTGTTATAGTCACAATGCCGCTGAACTCACCACATCACAATCCAGTACGATATTTTAGCTCGCGGCGTGTTCAGGAGAACACTGCCGATTTCACAACATTGCTAAACACGTCGTATTCAGACCAAGGTCTCAGCTCACGGTGTCGTTTAGACCGACGACGTTGTTGAATCTCACAACATCGTGATCTCACAACGTTGTTGAACTTTTCAACTCCGCTCACCTTGATGCATCATTAGGCTTCGCGACATCGTTGAGCTCATAACTCTAAAGCCAAACTTGTCTTTCGACAAATCAATGGCCGCTCCTGCTGAATGGGCCGCATCGTCACACCCGTTTTTTGTGACCTTGGGCTTCTGCGACGTTGCTATCGCGTTAGCTAAACATTATCGTCGTTCCCTTATTGGATCCCAATCTCACGACACCGTTGAATTCATGATGTTGTTAACCATTCTGGCGGTGTAGATCAGTCGCATTGCCGCAACTCACGACATTGATAAAGACATGACCCTGCTGAACTCTTGCTGTCGCGACATTGTTTTTAGCAAAACAAAGTCGCTCCCTAGTATCGCTGCATCGTTGAGCTTCATTGAGATCCATGGCGTGGTTGGCTTTGCGACGCTATTGAACTCGCTGAGCCATCAAACTTGCAACAATGCTACTTGCATACTCACAATGCCGACATGATTAACCTCGCGGTATTGTCGAACTTGCAAGGTCATTGGAATTGCGAGCCATTTAGCTCACGACATCGTTAACCTCACGATACTGCACTAATTTAATATTAGAGCCAAAAATATTTTAGGTGTAAACATCATTCCAATTTCCCAAATTGATTAGTAAACATGAAATTTAGGCCGAAAGTAGGCTTAACTTTACCTCGTCTAGTCTATTAGACGGGTAAATTGCAAGATTAGTTACTGAAATTACTAAAAACGTTCGTGTTTGGTCACTAAAAATATTTAATTTCATTCATGATTACTATGATTAGGTAAACATTTCAAGTTCGGTCACTTTTCGTCCAACTCCGTTAACTTTCGTTGATGTGGCAGTCAACTTTCAAAGTTGACCGTTAAATGTGTGACGTGGCAGTTAACTTTCTATTCGTTTCCAACTATGAAAACATAAAGTGGCAACTTCCTGCTGTTTTTGGAAACGGTGAAATGTTGTTTTCACCTGTTTTCAACATCTGTTTTCTCAAAAACTGGAAACAGAAATGAAAGTAAAAAGGGCCTAAGGGTTTGTTATTATTTTTTATCGGAGAAGGGTTTGGGAGTTTAGAACTCTCGATGGCAGATGATTGCTTGTTGGGTGAGGGAAGGTTTAAAATTTAATTATAATTACTTTATTTATTTAATTTTATTATTTTAATGAGATGAAAATTATAATAAATTAAATTAATTTTTAATAATATTTTCACTGTCACGTCACACATTTAACGGTCAATTTTGAGAGTTGACTGCCACATTAACGAAAGTTAACGAAAATGAACGGAGAGTGACCGAACTTTAAATATTTAACTAATCTTAATGACAACTAATGTAATTAAATATTTTTAGTGACCAAACATGAATTTTTTTAGTAATTTCAGTGACTAATCTTTACGATTTACACTCTATCAGACTATCACGAGATTCCCTTAAGCCTTAACTACTGGTAAATGGCAGTTAACACTCTGTTTCCTTTGCAACCTGTCCAATTAACACGTGTCTTTCGCCCTCATATTGATACAAACCCCCAAACAAGCGGCTCTAGTTTCAAGCAAACACGTGTACGCTAACCCAACACTGTAATAAATCCAATTAAAGAATGAACAGAACAGAACTTGGCATTATGCGAAAGATTCAAAGAGTGACATCATTATCAGAGTGCAAAATATCACATTGGGTTGCTGTTGTCATGAGCTAATTATACAATTAGTTGAATGAAGCTCATCATCAGTATATACTGAAACTACCAAACTGAAACCACAGAAGCCTCTTCTTCCTATACTCCATTCCACGCTCGCTCTCTCACTGTATCAAACACCAAAAAATATGAGCTATAGAACTAGATAGCTAAACCCCTTGTGAAGAAGGAACTATGCTAAACTTGGACGGTCCAACCGTATCGATGAACCCACGAAACGATGTCTCAGGAACCGCCGCCACATTCTGCCCTTCATCATGATGGTCAATGAAGATCACAACCACTGTTATATCATCATGGTAACTCCTCCTTTCCCCCTTTGCCTTCTTCTTAAGTTCCTTGTACCCAATGTCCCTCTTCCTGCATGCTTTATTCAATGCTGCTTCCACGAGTCTCCTCGCTATCCCCTGAACCACAAGAAGCAAAACACACTCAATATTAGCTCAAACCAAAGTGAAATGTGAATACAACAGCCCATGTGAACCCAGCCAGCCAGCGATGATACATACTGTTCGTCGGTTTTTGTACACTATCTCCACCGCCTCCTGGTTTGAGACGTGTTCCCACAGCCCATCCGAAGCAAAAATGAGGAATTTGTCCTCCGGCTGCAGAACTCTCGACAGCAGAGATGGTTCTGATGTTAGCACAGGCTTCTGAACCGGTTCAGGTAGGTGGAACCGTGGGAATGTCGACTCGAGAGCAAACTCGGGTCTCTTCAAGTATGCATCGCCTATTGATCTAGACACCTGATGGCATCAAGTTCCAAACCATATGAGGAAATGGACTAAAGATGCTATCTTACCTACTGCATTGCTTGCCAATTTGAGATCAGTAGAGTAAGAAGGTAGGGGGGAAACCTGGATAATGCCTTTGATGCGCCAAACTCCTTGCTTCAGAACGACAATATGTGAATCTTCCGGGTGCAAGGATTTCAGTTCCTGTCTGACCTCTTCCATGCAGGCATTATGATCATTGGTCAACTGCTCCGAGACTATCTTCTTCGACCCACCTAGAGAGCCAACTACAGCCCTGGAATCCCCAACATTGGCAACATATAGAGTGCCATTCCAAATCACCCCAGCCAAGCAACAAGATCCAACAGCAGCGATATCTGGCTTTATTCCCATGCTTCTACGCACTACAGTGAGAAACCCATTTTCAGTTGCAGAGAAGGCATCTTTCAGAGTGCCTTCTGAGATGTTTCCTCCTTTTGCAACTTCTGTATAGAGAAAAGCAAGTGGTTCAACAACTTGGCCATTTTCTTATTAACCTCCATTGCTCAAACTGCCAGGATAAGTCCAATGGCATCGAAGAAACACTAGTTCCCATAACTAGTTAACTACCAATTGAATCAAGAACGTTCTGAATTAAGAAGCAAGGGGGCCACACTAAATTGAAGCAAGTCTCAGCGAAAGGGGGAAAAGAAACGGGTCGAAGAAGAAGTAGGAAAAACAAGGGAGACCCTATGTTCAGGTGATTATGAAATCAAACTATGAAGTTTGGAAATGCGGCAATTGGGATTAGATATAATCAAAGAAACCCATAAACCGAATAGGAACCGAAGCAGGCAGCATCCGCAACCACTTTTTCCAGATTGCTTCACAGAAAAGCTACAAGAACAGATTGGTACAGGGCAACGAACTTCCTAACAGAATGGAAATCGCACGGTAAATCGCAACATCGTAGTGCGGAAGCCAAGAACAAGATTCAGATATCCAAGAAACCCATGGCGAGAAAACGGGAATTCATCATCCTATGACCCAGAATTGCCCAATTTCAACGGAACCCATTAATGATGCTATAAAGAGGAAGAAAAAAGCAGAGAGAGGGGGGCAGAGTAGTGTTGCTCACCAATCAAATTCTTGAACAGATGGTCAGAGATGAATCGAGAAGCTTCAGGGCCTCCATGGCCGTCGTAGACGCCGACGAAGACAGCATCACGGCCAGTCTCGACTTGGCTGTGGTCCTCAATAACCGCATTCGCCTGAACCACTGCGAAAGAAAAATCCCCACAAGAATGCTTCTCCAAATCCCTGGACCAGAGAAGCGAGTCCGCTCCACCGTCACCTCGACTTCCGCCGCCGAGCTCGAGATCCTCGTTGCCACTACCACTACCACCGTCATCCTTGTTCATACGGGCATACCGCCTCACCACGGGTCTCCAACAGGCCATAGCTATCCTTGCAAGCCACGAAAACAACATCCTTCATTGCCCTTTAAGACGCCCACGGAAAAATACTTTGGAGCACGAAAAAGCAAAAGGGGGAAAAGAAGGAAATTGAGAAGGTTTTTTTGGGATCTGGGGTGGGTCGGCTTCAAGAAAGCGACGGATCGCAGTTGGGGAGCAAGAAAGAAAGAAAGATCAAAAAGGGAGAAGAAGGGCGAATAGGGAAGAGAGGTGAAAGGAGGAGGAGGATGCCATGAAATGAAGGGAAGTAGCAGTGGTAGTAAGTCAAGTGAAGGAAGGAAGGAAGGAAAGAAGAGTAATGGGAAGAAGAAGAAGAAGTAAGCTTCTAGAGAGAGAGATGGCAATGCGGGAAGGAAAGTAGAGAAAGGCTCATGGGGAAGACGGCATTTTATTTTTATTAGTAATGTAATTGATGGGTCAATTTCTTTTTTCCTTCTTCCTCAAGAGCAGAGATCGAAGGTAAAGGGTGAAGAAGGAGGGAAAGAAGGTTCCGCTGGCTTTATAGCGCCTGCGCCGAGCCCCAGGGGTTTTGGAGGAGGAGTAGTTAGAAAGAGAAACCCAACACATCGAGAGACGGAGCAGTGGGGACAAAGTTGACTCTGCCTTACTAGCTAGTAGCTAGCAGTCACAAATTTCCGTAGATGAACATAATTTCCGTAGATCTTTTTTCACGTCCATAGATGAACATAATTTCCGTAGCATTCTTCTTGTTAATAGAACTTAGGTTGGTTTGGATGAATCAATTGTTCAACGAGATAATTTGACCAATTGTTTTATTTTACAAAAGGAATCATTTAAAACGAATCAATTTCAGATTACCCGTCTCTATCCCAGACAATTGTAATTGACTCAAAATGAGTCAATTCCGAATTCTCCCGTCCAAATTGCTTTAGCCATTTTTTCTGCAGCCAACAAAACAATTGTGCAAGATTAATCCATTAGAATTACTCATCCAAACGATCCTATAATGATTTTGGTAAATATTCTATTTTTTTAAGTAATTTATATAATAGTCACCATCATGTAGTCTGAAATTTTTTCTATAATTATATGGAACTACAACATCAAACTTTTCGTTAAGCACTTTACTAATCTCAGACGTCGGAAATATGGAAAAATATGTTGTTAGGTGATGGGTAGCCGAATGTGTCTATTAGTTCTTGGTCATGTAGACGATAGTCGTAGTGTTTTGAGGTTAAACACCTGTTTCTTGTAATATATAATTTTTTTTTGGCTCGTGCTTCGCTGCGGTGAGCAACTAATAATAATTAACTTTTTATCCTCACATTTGATGATTTAGTTGAAATAAAATAATTTGGGTAAGAAACTTCTATAAGCTTTACTTAGTATTTTAATTATTAAGGAGCACTTACATGATACATTTGTTTAACTAATACATAAGAAATTATTATTTACTTATAAGTTTTACCTAATATATTTGTAATTTACGTTATTTTTATAAAAATATTTTACCTAAATATTTTGTAGTGAGTGATCTAATAATAAAATTAAGTTACGGTCTTACGGATAAATCTCACATTTGATTAAACTATTATGTAAAATTACTTAACTTGCAAAATATTTTCGTAATGCGAATTGATGAGATTATTAATATTGTATGCAATAACCAAAAAATTTAATGACAAGTGAATCAAATTACGATAGGTATAAAATTTGAATAACTTGTTATCTAAAAGATAAATGACCTTACATAATCTTTATAAAAAAAATTGTGGTGGTGGATTTGCTTGGTGGGCTCCTTCTTCTGGAGTATCTATTTAGGGTAGATCCTTCAACGGATAACTATGCTGCCCATGGAGTGACACATGAAATCCTGTTGTTGTCCCTTTAAAGCTACCTTGATTTGATTTTGTAGGCTGGCTTCACTTTGGTGTTGCAATGGGTCTAGAGTAGAGGTTTCTTTCTAACTTTTCTCTTTTGTTATTGCTTGGAAAAAATGATCAATAATTTATTTACTAATAAATGAATCTTCCTTCAAACTTGGACATAATTCTCATTTTTTCATATTTTAGGTCATAGTAATTCCTTAAGGTTAAACTTCAATCCTGGTAAAAGTATTATCCCCATATGTAAAACAACATAGAGAAACACAGAGAAACATTTGAGCAAACAAACTAATTGTTTCGTAGCATATATGACAACGAAATTAATTCCACCAAAGGCTCAGTTGAAATCATTCAAACCATGCAGTATGCGGTTCACCAATGATTATTTCAATAGTTCAAAATTCTTAATCTAACTCAATCAAGATTCAAGATGCAAGATATCTATTGGGCCCACCTAAGCTGTGGAACCAAGCGTCACTTAAATTTACTTGCTAACGACTACCAACAACCTCAATCTATCTACTAACTCTTGACAATGGTACTTATCAAAATCGTCACATAGATTGAGAATATATCAAAATGATCACAAACATTTAAAACGTAAAAAAAATATATATACACAATAATATAACAAAAAAACTATTTCTTCATTTTGCGTCCACATTTTTGTCCAAAATGTCTAGTTGGTTTGCTAACTCACTTCAAAAAAGTAATAACCAACCCTTAAACCTACTCGCTAATGCATAGCAAGTAATTGGAGCATTTTGAATGGAAAGACACGAAATGGCTATTTTGTTATATTGTGATACGTATGTGAACTTTTTGTTACATTATATAAACGTTTTATGACCATTTTGTTTAATTTTCGCCCATATTTTGTCCAAAATGTCTAGTTACTTTGCTGATTCATTTCAAAAGGTAATAACCAACCCTTAAACCTATCGTATATATATCTATAGCAAGTAATTTGAGCATTATAACTAACCTTTAAACCTACCACTTAGCATAGTAAGTAATTTAAACATTTTGATGGAAAGACACGAAATGGCTATTTTTTTATTGTGATACATATGTGAACTTTTTGTTACATTATATAAACGTTTATGACCATTTTGTTATGGCGTCTATATATATGACATTTTGATTAATTATCCCTCTTCACATTGATTTATTAGTTCAATAAAAGAATGACCTTGCACAAATTAATGTGGGATGCTTGTGTAGCCACCTGGTACTTCACATGTGTAGAAATAGGATCCTACAATAGTTCTGCCCCCATGATAACCAACCCTCTTATGAACAGTAAAAACCCTATTTTTTCGTATGCAATAGTAACTTAGACTTCCGGGAACTTGCCAATTAATAATTCATTTTTTTTTATTTGTTGAACATAGCTATTATTGAGTTGATTTAAGCGATGCACCTTACATTGAATGAAGGCTATTATTGTGAGAGGTGGTAGTATTGCCCCAATGAGTAAATCATAGCATACTCATAGCACATGGTTGACAAATCATTTATTGAGATAATCTACACACTCGTTAAAAATAAGAATTGAGTTTGTAAATTTCATATCCTTGATCAATCAATGATGCAACTCTAGGATGTGGTAGTGTGCTTTGGTCAAGGGGTCGACAAAAATATATTTAAAGAACGAGTAATTGCGGGGAATGTCAATGTAATGATCGATGTCTGCCATGACAAGTACTAAGATGAAACTATTTCGTTTGGATTATTTGGTTAATGACTAATCTATAATAATTAACTTTTGTAATCAGACCAGTGGTTAGCCATGTGGTTGCTCTATCTGTAGAACGTTTAAGCCGATAAACAAGCTATATGTATGAAGCATAACGATAACAATTGGTTTTTAGGTGTTGCCTTCACCAAAAGTTCATATGTTATCATAGGGACTGTAAATCTAGGGTTCCACAATGACTAGCACTCCAACGATATCAGGAATGGATGAGGAAGCACTACTGGTCAAGTCTCAACTTCACTCGCTAAAACTACACTCGTGACAATGCCAAGTGCAACAAAAACAAAATCGCAATCTAGTGGTACAAGTTATAAAATATATGAATCCACGGGTCTCTAGATTTTCTATTACTCAACTTAATGTTATCATTTAGCAAATCAGATTCATATAAAAGAACTATAGTTGTGCTAAGAAACTGAACTAAGGTTAGACTAATTACAGGTTGCAAACTCACTCAGGTATTAATTCTCCTAGCCACTAATCGGATAAATGATTGATGATTCTCTAAATTGATTCACCGTTACTTCACAATATGGAGAGTCCTTGACTATACCTTCAATCTCGATTAAAGAAATGAAGGCCCTCTTGAGTCGGTTGCTTAGAGGGACGTATCCTTCTCTAAAACCACCAATCAAGGCGTTCTACACTAGACTTCATCTATTGGGTGAGGTTCCCACACAATACATAACATTGAATTGACTCACACTCATTTTATCGACCTCTACTTCCAATCCCTGGTGCTCTATTGACCTAATCATGTATTCCCTCTCATAGAATCAAAGCAGAATCAATAATCTCGACTAAAGTATAATCGAATCGTAAAATCTAGCATAGATTGAATATGAAACCAAGATTATCAAGATAGAGTACTCATATAATGATGAAATCAAACAAAAAGTAGCTAAGGTTCCTCAAACCTAAGTGAAGGGAAGTTACTCCATAAAGAAGATAGATAATACAAAAATCTGATCTATATCTTCAATATCCATCTCCAAGATTGTTTTTCGAGCTCCAATGGCAAAGAAATCCTCCTAAATAGATCCAAGAATGTTCCCAAACAGTTCTCTCTCTAGGGTTCATCCTTTGGGTGCCAAAATCCAACTCCCCTTCTGCAAAATTGCAGAAATCCTCTTATACTCGCGACTTAGGCCATTTTATACCCATGTCACAACTGTGAGATAGGGGGTGAGATGCAAATATTTGCGTTTCAACTTAACTCTTCAAATCTCCTTCAGACCTCGACCTGCAGATGTCACGACCTATGTCACACCTTATGTAACGGTCAAGACTTAATATGTGACATAGGAGGTGTGACAAGCTATGAAACACCTTTAGCTTGCAAGAAAATTTGTCCATCTCACGGTTTTATGGTACATCTCATGGCTTAAGCTGTGAGATGGCCTCCCAGGCCATGAGATGGACTCTTTTTTCACTTATCATCCTGAAACTGGCTCATAAGCTCCATCCAAGTACTAAGACCTAAAATAAGACAAAAGGAACACAACCTAACGTGAAATAGGACAAGTAAATACAAAAACCAATTCAAACGATAAAGGAATGAGGATACAAACATGTTTAATTATGTCATTATCAAAATCTCCCACACTTAACCGTGTGCTTATCCCTAAGCAAACATGACTCAGACTAGTGCAATTCACTTGACTCCCACAATAGCATGCCATTTTAATCACAAGTAGCGGACCAACTAGCAACTTACGAGGTCAACTAGAGACAAGACATCTCATAACCACCTTGACGAGCACCCTAGCCTTGAGTTAGGACAAGCCGAAAAGTAGAGCTAGGACAAGCAACTTGTAAATGCAGAGAAGCACAAAAACATTAAAAACTATGGACTCCGCTTATCTTTTCTTCCTTTAGAGGTTCAAACTTTTGAACATCTTTTCGACTTTAATATGGTTGTTCATTGTTGTACGATCTCGTGATTAAAGAAGAAGTGATATCACTCCTCTATCTGGTCCATGCGGGAAAGAGGTGCAAGTGGGGACTGAGAGTAATATGTGAAGGTTTAGAAACAAGATCCTTGACTGCAATCCATCCTTAGGAAAGATCTAAAGAGATCATCCTAAGTTAATGATAGGTTGCCACAACATGTGAGATTTTTAAGATGTGGAGGTCTCTAAACTTGATA